GGGGGAGGGGAGCAGAGAGAGCAGATGCTCTGAGAGATGGAGAGTACGAGACCACGGGGGCGAGGTCCCACTTGCAAAGAGGATTAGATGTAACTGCTGAATCTGGACGCGCTCTTGGACAGGTGCAGAATATCGTGATTAATCTGCTTTTCTGTATCTCTGCATCAAACGTATCCAGATTCATGCGCTGCATCCATTCCTCTTTGCTAGTGGGACCTCGCCCCAGGGGTACGGGTGCGCTTGTTCTTGGGATGCTCGCGTCCAGTGTTTGGGGCCTGCGTTTTGTTTTTTAAGTCATTTATTTCAAATTATTTGGGTTCAGACTTGCAGTGTCAACTGGTGTTCAAAAAAAAAAAAAAAAAAAAAAAAAGAGGGTTTAGACTTGGGGGTTTTGACAGGGATTTTCTACATTTTATGATTTTGTTTTTGTTTATTAGGGTTTTAGTGTCTAGGGTGTAGACTTCGGGGTATTTGTAAGGAGGAGGGGAGGGGAAGAGGGCAGGGGAGGAGGGAAGGGGGATCTGGGATGGAGGAGGGAAGGGGGATCTGGGATGGAGGAGGGGAGGAGGAGGAGGAGGAGGAGGAGGAGGAGGAGAGAGAGAAGATGCTCTGGGGGATGAAAAGGAGAAGAGGTGGGGGGAGAGTGGGGGGGTTTCGTAATTGACCCACACACTACACCTTCTTCGGCCGAACGTAAATCCCTGTCATGGTGAATGTATACAAACCCTATTACGGTCCAAATACAGCCATGAATATACCATGTTGATGGGGTGTTATGTGCGCGGTAGGGGGGTGGAAGGGGCAGGGAAGAAGGATTTTACCGAAAATCTGAGCTAATTAATTGCTGATCATAATGATCTGGAGTATTGACAATCCATTTCTGGTCGGACAGGGAAAAAAAAAAAGGAAAAAAAAGTAGTGGGCAGGAATGGGAGGGGAGGGAGCGCTCTAATCGAGGATGGACTTAATTTTTAATTTTTATTTTTTTTCCCCCAATTCATCTAATCTTAAATGTGGATTTGAATTGAAACGATTGACGCAATTGGGTCAGAAAAAAAAAAAAAAAAGAGAAATAAACGACAGAAAAAGAGAGAGAAAAGAAAAATCCGTCGTTGGCCACAAGGCCCACGATGCTAATTTCCTGTGTATCGTAGAATAAAATAAAATATAAATAAATACAATATAATAAAATACAATGCAATAGAATAAATACAATACAATAAAATAAATACACTACAATGAGATAATAAAGTAAAAAAAGACAGTTCATTATTAAAAAAAAAAAAAAAAAAAAAAAAAAAAAAAAAAAAAAAAAAAAAAAAAAAAAAAAAAAAAAAAAAAAAAAAAAATAAWTTTTAAAAAAAAAAAAAAAAAAAAAAAAAAAAACAGTTCATGGGTGTACCAATGAGGTACGCCCATTGGTGGATTGACCCAATTTGGTCAGACAGAAGGAAAAAGAGAGAAATAAAGGAACAGTAAAAGAGAGAGAGAAAATAAAAATCCATCCTTGCCCATGCTAATCTTCTCTTCTCTGTATCGTAAAATAAAATAAAATAAAATAAAATACAATATAATAAAATAATAAATAAAATAAATAAAAACGTGAAATAACTAATAGAAGTAATATGAAATAAAATGTAATAAAAAAATTAAAAATCCAGCGGCTGAGATAGTATACAATCGTCGCAACTGTGAAAAAAAAAAAAAAAAGTTAAATAGTAAAAGAGTGACAGGAGAAAGACAAGCAATGGCCGATTGCTCTCTTTTTTTTTTCTTTGTTTTCTGTTTTTTAATTAAAACACCCCTTCCAGTGTTAGTGCTGCTGATAAGAGCAGACAGCACTCTTCACACACACTTCGAAAGATATTTCATACAGTAAGGGTCAGATCCCACTACCATGGATTATTCATTTTCCACCGTCGATTACGAAGATCAACGGTCAGAAATGAACAATAGGGGCTAGTGGGATCTGGCCCTAAGCAACAAGCGTGTACTCATGCTCAAAAAACGCGCACGCGTTCCTCTACGCTTCAACCGGGTGGCTGAATTAGAGCCATTATCACATCAGTTTGATTGCTCGGTTTAAATCATTAATTATTTCAGTGGTTGGTTTAAGATGATTGATTGGTTGATTGATTGGCTGACGTGATTGGTTGATTGATTGGTTGACGTGATTGGTTGACGTGATTGGTTGATTGTTGGTTGATTGATTGGTTGATTGATTGGTTGATTGATTGGTTGACGTGATTAATCACTAGTAATTTCTCATTGAGCGGCAAAGGATGTAAATTGATGAAATGATGAGAAGGCGGGAGGGAGATTCCTTCCTCTCCTTGTCTCTCTCTTTCTTTCTCTCTCTACTTCTCTCTTTCTCCCTCTCTCTCTCTCTCTTTTTGTTGTTTTTGTTTTTTGTTCCTTGGCTCTGGAGAGAATGCGTTCGAGAGAGAAGCAATAGCGCAGCAGCGATTGCGAGGAGGTGTCGGGATGTCGACACGAGGGCATGGGGCGGGGAATCGGGATACGTGTAGAAAGATTGTCTGCAAGAAAACACAGTTGCAGCAGAGGCTATGGCCAACACTCTCCCACAGACCACACACAACCCACTCCCGCTCGCACTCACACCCCTGTTGGTCAGAGACCCCTCTAATGCCGATCATGGGTATCCAGAGGACTATCATCACACAGTCCGTTGGCACTGATTTGTATTCTTTTCAGGGTACCTTTTTTTTGTTGTTTTTGTTTTTTTTACCGCAGGGGTTAGGTTCATGAGGGCCTCATCCGACATTATTTTATTGGATCTGGTATGATATGCAGCGATTTGTATTTTTTTTCAGGGTACCGTACGATCTAATGAGTACGGTACGATCTTTGTCCACCTGACAGTGCTTGGAAGGTGGTGGGTTTTGACAACGCTTTGGAGGTCTGCCACGTGGCAGAACCGGGGCGCTGTCATCATCAGCAGGTTAGCGAAAGGGGTTAGGTGCATCCTCGGTGTTGAGTCTCGATGGGCAGTAAATCCCCCTTCTCGAGGGCCTAAGGCTCTACAGTGAGGACAAAGGGTATCTCCTTGTTCCATTCTGTATAAGGGACGCGGGTCAAGGTACTCATAGGTAGGGGGAGGGAGGAACTAGTGTGTAGCAGCAGGGATCTGGCGCCAGGGCGACTCCTTGTTTCATTCTGTATACAAGTGGACCCCCTGCAGCTACGCTGCCACAGCAAAAACATTTTGCAAAACACCCCAGACATGGGTTGGCCATCTTCGCAATGTACCCTACCAGACACCATCGGACTTTGCAAAATGGCCGGTAGTTGGCAACTTTTGGTGGGTGCAATTGCAAAAAAAGCGCCCAATTTTCAGGGACATTTTGACATATATCCCAACTTATGGGGGTATTTGGCCAATTTCCACCCCCAAAAAAAGGCCAACGGCATCTTCTCGACATTTGGAGGAAGATATGCCAGTCTTCTCTCTCTCTCTCTCTCTCTCTCTCTCTCGTGTGTGCGTGCACGCCCTCTTGTGCAACCTCCTCCCCCTATCGCGACGTCCTCGTCCTCCCTCAGGACCCCCTCCCGCTCGCACGAAATCCTCCCCCTAGCACGACCTCCTCCTTCCCCTGCCGCATGACGGCCTGCAACCTCTCGTCCCCAGCGTGCGACTTGGTCCTAGCCTCCTACCCCTCCCACGACCCACTCCTCCCCCATGCACGGCGGCCTCCTCCCCCTCGCGCGACCTTCTCACACCCCTCTTCCGACCTCATCCAGCTCCTCCTCCTCCTTACACCGCCCCCTCCTCCCGCTCATGTGTCGTCGTCCGGCCTCCTCAGACCACTCGCGTGACCTACTCCAACCTCCCTTCCTACCTCCACTGCAACCTCTCGTCCTCCTCGTGCGACCTGCTCCTCCCCCTCTTCCGACCTCCTCCTCTCCCTTGTGCCACCTCCTCTTCCCCCTTGTGCAACCTCTTGCTTGTCCTTGTGCGAACTGCTCCTCCCCCTCCCACTCCGTCTTCCGATCTCCTCCTCCCCCTAACGCAACCTCCGTGCGACCTCCTCCTCCTCCTCGCGCGACCTCCTCCTACCCCTCGTGCGACCCCCTCCTCCCCCTCGTGCGACTTCCTCCCTCTCTTCCGACCCTCCTCCTCTCGCGAGACCTCCTAATCCTTGTGCGACCTCCTCCTCCCTCTCATGCGTCCTCGTCCACCTCGCACGACCTCCTCCCACCTCTATTCCGACCTCCTCCCCCTTGTGTGACGTCTGTTTCCCCTCGCACGACCTCTTCCTTGTGCGACCTCCTCCTCCCCCTCGTGCCACCTCCTCCAATTTCTCTTCCTACCTCCTCCCCCTTGTGCGATGT